ACACAAATGTCTTTATGTGGGGCTGCTGCTGCTGCTGCTGTGGAGATACATTTTATCGATTATCTCAACAATGTACTGCTCTATGAAGAAGATGCTGCCATCACTCCATGCACATTTCCAACACAACAATGATCCACAACACCCGTCTAAAACTACTGTTGCGCTTCCGAAGTAGAACAGGGTGAAGGTGATTGGCCATGTGTCTCCTGATCAGATCCCAATGGAACCCCAGTGGGGAATTCTGAAGCAACAAGTTGAGCATCACTCTCCATCCAGCCTCCCGTCTCTAAAAGAGGTTTTTCTTGAAGAATGGAAAAAGATAGATGCTGCAATGTGTGGCCAACTTGTTCATTCCATACATTTTTGCTTAGACCAATTTGAGTAAAACTGAAGATCTTGTGATCTATGTTCAATTATTAACCTTGATTCACATTATGGAGTTAAATAAGTGTTTAGTAAAATTCTTTCTTTTGAAAAGTTTGTTCATTGAGCTATTGATTAAATTGCTGCTTTTTAAAGAGGGTGTACTCATTAATAGGGCTGAATATTGTGACTAATTTGGCAATTTGCTTCTTGTTTTTATGGTTTAAATTTGGTTCAATATCGATTGGCTACCAATATTTCATTTAAAATGTAAGTTTTGCAAACATAAGATCCATATTTTGATATAAATGCTCAAACTCTCTTACTGAAGTTTATTACAGGAATACACATTTAAATTAATAATCAGGTGCACACAGTTGTTTATTTTAACATATCTTCTACGTTCAGGATTTCCCGAATCGCTATTGTTGCGTTAAACTGAAGATCGATCAAAATCTGAGAAATGATATCTTTTACCCAGCACTACTCATTTATGCTGAGCATGGTACATTTTAGATATCGTTTTAATGGAATCTAGACTCAAATGCCAACTTTTTCAAGAACTAGCTAAGACACAATGCAAATTAAAAAAAAATTATATGGGTCACTATTGTTTGCTTTGTTTTTTGTGCGTGTGTGTGTGGTGAGTAGGAAAATGCTCATTTTGTAGTTGTGGACATGGTGTTGGAAGTGATTGAGGCTGTGAAATGGACTGCCAATCTGAAGCAGATAAACATCAATCCTTCAAAAACCGACTCCGTCTCTTCTTTTGACAGTGGATTTGTGGGTAAGATCAGATTGCATTGTATTGCATCATGTGATCCACTCGTGACTGAGATCAGTTAATGCAGGTCTTGTCTCTTAAATCTGCTGACAAATTCTTCCCAAAACCAAACTGTTCCTAATTCACCTGGCAGATATTTACACATCAAAACCATGCCCAGGCAGATACTCCTTGGCTTCCTTTCAGAGGTACTGGTTTATAGCATACAGTAGAATGTGTAACTATGCATCAATTAATATTATCTAAGGTGGATTGCTTGATTTTCAGTTTTCTTCAGAACACCAGAATGCAGTACTCTGCTGAATGTTTAGCTCAGCATTTGGTGTCAGAGTTCAGGAAACAGTGGTTCCCTTCTGAACTCCTGCAAAACCATGTGGACTTCTGCTCAGCTCTGCATGAAGTGAGAGCACTTGTATTTTAATGCACTTTATATAATGAGCACAGAGCCTATGGGTTCAGCTGGAGAATCCTGAACACATGCAGTCGCACATGTGGTCTTGGTTCTATGAAGTATGCAGAATAAATTAAACATTTTAAGGTACATTTATTTGTTTTATTTTACAGGTATCTGCACCTCTACTGACAGGAGGCAGTGTGGATTTATCTGAGGAGATTCTCTTGAAGAGCAGAATGAGAGGAACTCTAACCTGGGCTCCACCGACACTTCAGATAATCCTCTGTGTCCAGCCAACACTCAAGTGTGTTCATTCATTTTTAAAATCATTTACCTTCTGTCCCACTTAATTGGGTGGAAGGATGTCTACGATCAGCTAATAGCTATAGTCACTAGGATAACGTTTATTCATTTTCCAACCCTTTTTGGGATCATAGGGGTCTGCTGGTTCCTATTTTCCAGCACACATTGGACGAGAAGCGGGGGTACACCCTGAACAGGTCGCCAGTCCATCGCAGGGAAACATTCACTTTTGCACTTTGACTCCTAAGGCAAAAGAACTTAAGCATTAGTTTTAATGGTTAACTATAAAAATAACTCCAGTGACTCGATCAGGTAAACAAGAAACAAGCTTTGACAAAAGTTAGTTGCTTGATTTCCAGTAAAATTAACTGTGTGACCAGAGAAGTCATAAACAAACAGCTGTTCTACCTATAATCAGTCTGTTCTGAAAGAAGTGCGGGTAATAAGGAGCAAGCCAGTGCTTGGAAGAGCACAATATGTTTGAATAAAAAGGGACATTTGGAAAAAAGTTGTGTTTTAAAAAGGGAATAGCTGGACTATCCCTGTATAGACAACTGTGGTTTTGCTTTTGTTTCCCTGACAGTAAATACAATTCTGCTCAAAAATAGCAGAATTGTACTTGCTGTCAGTGAAACAAAGGCAAAGCCACAGTTAGCTACACACAAGCTGAAATCAGTTTTAGCATGAATATTAAAATAAAAGAAGATGCTTCAAAACAGCTGTTCTACCTATAGTCAGTGTTTTCTAGAAAAAAGTGTGGGCAACAAAGAACAAGCCAGTATTTTTTTTATTGACCAAATATTTAATTTAAAAATACTGGTTATACTAAAATCTTAAGAAGACGCAGAATTCTACACGTAGCAATAAACTCAAAGCCAACTACTAAACAATCCTGTGAGTAATTCATTCTGAAAAGTTTAACAATGCAGTGCTTCTTTTGTTTTTATTGTTACTATGTCATTTATGCCATTTCGCATGAAGAATTCCGTTAAATAGCCGTCATAGTTTTAGCCAAGCAATCTGTTTTATGTATTCTGAGCTGATTGAGTTGCTGAGACACATACACATTATTGTTCCTTTCACGCTTCCTAAACTGGAGTCGTATCGACCACTGGATCCGTTATAAAGTAAAACAATATCTCAATAGGCTTTTGATTAATCCATGTTTTGGTGTGTGAAAGGCTGGTTGGAACCCTTCATGAACAATTCTTTAAATCATCAAGTTGACCCATGTTCACAATGGAATTTCTTTTCATCAAACTTTTTATTAGACGCAGTGAAGTCCTTGCTTCCCAGCAGTTCCTGTGTGCTGGCTGTGGTACTGAAATTGAGCCCAGTGAGTAATGACGCAGTCCATGAGTCATGTGGTCTTTCATCCAGTTGAGGTTACACCTTAACCTCTCCTCTTTCACAAGGATATATAAAGAAATTGCGGTATTGCAACTACCTGGGCAGATACTTCTGTGATGGTTGTCACAGTGGACTGGAATCAGTTATTCCAAGCCGAGTTCTGAATCATTGGGATTTTACAAGATATCCAGTCTGCCATTCCTCCAGACAATTTCTAGACTCAATATGGCAAAAACCCCTCTTCAAACTAACAAGTGTAGCCAATAAGACGTACAGCCAGCCCAAAGAGCTTCAGCGCTTCATAGTGAGTGATTTCATTCTTTGTCTGTTTTATTTATTCTTTTGATTTAATTAAACTGATAAACACATGTAACTGTTACTTTAAGGTTCTGTTTATATATTGCATGTTCTTTTAGCATTCTATTGATTCTGTACAATAGGAACTACAGGAGCAGTTGATCTCCATCAAAAGGCTTCTGAGCACATGCAGACTTTCATTCCGGTGATTTGTCCTATTTCTTTATTTGGTTGGTGATTTTAAAGTCATTGTTTATTGTGGTGGCATTTATTCTTTTGATTCTAAACATAACCAGATTATTCCATGAGTTTGATCAGCTTCCTGCACACCTGACGGAAGAAGTGCAGCTTTTCTCCTTGGATGACCTACTCAGACTGAAGAAAGGTCAGCTCTGTAACAAAGCCAGGGCTCTGCTGCAGGCTGCAATCTCTCACATTGACATCTGTGAGGTTCGTACATCAAAAGATATAATTTAGTGGAATTCGTGTCCATACATAATGTTATCTGTGCATCATGTGTATTTTTTTTCAGCTGTGTCAGGCAAAAGGTTTTATTTGTGAATTCTGTCATGAGAAGGAAGTGCTTTTCCCTTTTCAAAGAGACACCTGCATCCGTTGCCGAGGTATTTCTTGCATTTGAAATATGCTCAAAATCAGAATATGCTGTTTTAAAATGGCTTAATATGTTGCAAAATTGTATTTTATATTTATTTCAGACTGCCGAGCCTGCTTCCACATCTCATGTTTCCATCAGGATGAATCTTGTCCCAAATGTGCTAGACTCCAGAAGAGAAAGAAACTTCTGGAAGAGAGTTTGTGACTGCAGTTTTTGGTTGTCACTTTAATTCTAAGAGCATTTGTATTAGATATTGCATTTTTACAGAATTTTTTTTGACCTTTTTTATATTAAATTTTAAAATACGTATTTTAAATATGTATATTGAGTATTTCTGATCCTTAACTGTTTTATTTAGAAGTTATTTAATGGAAATTATGTATCGTACTTTAATACCACAACCAGTCAACTTCTTTTACACTGTGTGAATTATTGGAATATAATGAAATTACGAATCTAAAGACATTAGATTTGTGGATTCTTTTTTTAGATGCAGCTTTTCTACATTTTTCATATTCGTTTCTGTTGAAATTACAAACAATTTTCTCACTAATTAATTATTTCATTTCAAGGTATAAATTCTGTTACTGGGTACCCTGTAAATACAGAATGATATTATTACAATGACAATGACAGTGACTAGTGAATGAAGTTTTTCTTTAAATAAGTTATTTTTCGTATTTTATCTGTGACGTTCCGCCTGCAACGTTCGATGATATGGCTCACGTTGACAGATTATGTTTTAGTAATTTAATTATAAATTGTACATCTTTACCTAGAGGCCAAACGCAAACTTTACAGTGAAATATAAATGTAAACAGTTTTTATTTATTTAGTTTATTTAAATCGTAAACTATTAGGTCAGAAAGACTTAAACTTCTAATGTGACGTATGTCAGGATGGCCGAGCGGTCTAAGGCGCCAGACTCAAGGTTTTCACCTTCCAGCTAAGCGGGATTTCTGGTCTCCGAATGGAGGCGTGGGTTCGAATCCCACTTCTGACAAAATGTTTTCTTCCAATAAATGTTAGTAAACCAGTACGTACATAGTTTTTTCAATGTTTTTGTTAAGTTTCTATCCACTCTTTACAAGTAATTTCCAAAATGCTATACCAATTTACAGTTCATACGGCATTGCAACTCACACATGAAATTAAACGTTTTAACAAAAAAACATTACAATTTTTAGCAATTTACTGAATAATAGTAGTTGCATTTGTGTAACTTCAAAATGTTTTAAATTATCATATAAACATTATATCATACATTTTGTGACCAATTCACTCATTTGAACAGGATTTTTTTTATGTAATGTGAACTGTTTAAATGTAAACTGCATTATAAAACAGTTGAAATAAAGGTTAATGCTCAAAAAACAATAAAGACAACGTGTACATTTTTTGCAATTGAAATGACAGATTCACAGATTCAATAATTTACAGCTCAATTATATTCATAAAATAATTACTGAATGTATTTTATTTACAAACTAAAGTGTAGCAATCGTCATATAAAATGTATTTTTTAAAGAGACAATAGTTATTGTGCTTTTATTGGACAAATAAACAGCATTCCTTTGATTTAATGAAATTGTTTGCAAAATTTCCCCCATAAAAAAAGTTATAAAAAGAAAAAAAAAAGAAAATGCATTTTCTTAAACCTAGGAAACAGCGCTACGAAATCAACGTGTGGCCAAAAGTATATTGCGTATTGTTGGACACTGAATCAGCGTCCACTGTGGACCAATCAGAGTCCACATCGCTAAGCTCGAGCTTCCTTGGTTACCAGGTTAGCAACAAGTCGCTTTCTCAGGCGGAAGTCAGACAACAAACACTTGAAAGATCGTTGAAGTTTTCTTTTTCTGAGAATTATTTATGTAATTATAGCTTATGTTTATTAAATTCGTATTGCACCCAGACCGTTTGGAAAAACTGTTACGTCTTATAAATGAATGTGCAAAACTTTCTTTCAATTGACGTGTTGAAGTTCGTCTGGTTTCAGAGAAATAAGTTACAGTATTTAATTGAATGTTAAGACGCTAAAACCAAGGGTTATACCTCGAGATGTCGGTGAGTTAAATTCTGTTGATTTTGTACTTACATACTAATTAAATTCTTTAAGAAATGTTAACGTTATTGCTTTTATTCAAATTATGCTAGTTAAATTGTAAGCTGCTACAGCAATAACATACAGAAAACCACAATGACATCTGTTTTGTCAGTATCTTTAATTTATTTGACTAATTCTATCTAAAGCTGCTCACTTTCCAAACTCTACATACTTTATTTTTAGTATTAAAACTCAAATTGAACTTCCAGGGATCAGTTGTCAAGAAGTATCCCTCCAAAGAAACTGACAAATCTTTTTATCTTTTACCACAGAAACAGCAGGTAAAACATTTTATTCATCATATCTATCAATATTATGCTCTTTTTGTGCGAAATTTGATGACAATGGCCTGTGATTCAAGGTGCGGTCAAAACCACGATGGCATGAAGCAAAACTAAACTTTAGACTTGTGGGACCAGCTCAGGAAGACACCTCTGAAAATTTATTAACTGGTAAAGCCATTGTAATGTATGATATATAGAATCCTATGTTCGAAGATAATCTTGTAACTTACTGTGGAATACTTTAAGGAGAAATCCATGAGACTCTCCACCAATCTGTGACCAACGATAGAAAGATTGCAGGACCATCTTACAGACGGCGTGGTGATGTCCACCCAAAGAGTAATCGTGAGCAGTTTCGCAGTGCCCTCGTCAGCATGATCATGTGGGTTTGTCTGGGATAAACACAAGCTCTTGATGACAGAAGGTACCAATCGCTTTAGTGAATGAAAGAATATGATTTCAGGGACCGTGAAGATGCAAGTGCTACATCAATCATAAAAAACATCACACCATCCACATCAGGTTCACCCAGTGCTGCAGAGAGGCACATTTTGGTGAAAGACAAAGTTTTGTTTGCAATTACATTTAACTTTGTTTTATTTTATGAGTCATGTTTATTTGAACCTTTATTTTAGAGGTACTACTATTACATACGCAATGGGATTGGTACAGAAGATGTGGCCCCAATGGAGGATTCTTGGCTTGAGAATGTACTTGCTTTAGTCCCAAAGCACTTGAAAACATTGAGTAAAACCACAGAGGCTCTTTCAGATGAGATGAGAGAAGACTATCTGCTCAGCGTCAAAAAAGCTATTGGTATGAATTCCTTTTGGAGCAGTTAGGCTACAGTGGTATCCCGAGATACGAATGCTTTGAGTTACGAAATGTTCGAGATATGAAAGCCACCCTGGAACGGATTAATTTTGTATCTCGGTGTACCACTGTATTCTTAAAAAACTGGATCATTACCTACTTATTTAATCTAAACTTGTTAGTTTTTTTTATGAGGAGCTTTTAACAAACAGTGTTATTTCAGAGATGCACTTCTGCATACCTCTATTGTAACAAGTGTTTTTTTTTCAAGTTACTTTTAGCTTTCTATCAGCTCAAACCAGCCTGACCATTCTTCTTTGGCGTCAACAAGGCATTTGCTTCCACAGAACTGTCACTCACTGGGTATTTTCCCTTTGTTGGACCATTCACAGTAAACCCTGGAGATGGTTTTGAGTGAAAATCCCAGTAGATCACCAGTTTTTGAAACTCAGACCACCCATCGGCCACCAACAACCACTTAAAGAAGCAAAAACGAATAATAAAAGTATGCTAAAATAAAAACATGTATGATTACATCCAGAAATATATAAAAAAACGAATAAATGCATTAATAAATAAATAAAATAGCAGGTAAGTAAACAGATGCATTAATAAAAACATATATGAAAAATACATAAAAAATATTTTAAACAACGTAATGTATGAATAAATAAATTAATATATGCTTACATAAATTGATTAATTAATAAATACCTCAATTTTTTAAATAATAGGTTAAAATAATAACCTTAAAAGTGAATTATATGAAAATAAATATATTTCTGCATTTTAACACTTCTGTATTTTTTTTCTCAATGTTGCAATTTAGAAATATGTTTTTATTGATTTTTATTTTTTGCCAACAATTGTGTTTTTAATTTTATTTATGGATTTCTGAATATTTTGATTCTTTTATTTCTTTTATTTTGATGGTTTTATTTTTTGTTATTTTTTTTCATTTATGCTTGAGTTCATACACAATGATGCCCCCGATGTCCAATAGAGAGATGTTCAGAAAGAATGGAAAGATTGCCTTTTTCTCACATAAGCAAGCTTACAGGAGGAGCAAGTCTTTATTTTTAGCTTTTATTTTCCCCTATCTCTATGCGATATACTGTAAATGGTTTCCATTTTTATTCCAGTGGATTTTGTACTGCAAGACCCAAGACAGGATCAAGAGCTCACAGAAAGAGATCTCCCTCTACACAGACAGGAGTGAGTCTTGAGTCCACATGTAACTTATAAGCTGAACTATTAAGATCCTTTACTGTAAGAATCTTTGTGAGATGCAGAAAAACATTAACCCCTGGTCTCTCACACCTTATCTGCCATTATTAAAAACTTTTAGTACAATACAATAAAGCATATAGCCTGATAGCTTAGCGGTTAGCACTGCTGCGTCTTAAAGCTGCCAGATTTTGATTCTCAATGCTGTAACAAATATTTTTTGCAGAATGCAGATTATTCCAAAGCCGTGGAATAAATCATTTCTCCAGGCAAAGAAAAGAATGAGGAGCCAACTCTACACAGTTAATCCCACAATGCTCGCTGTTCAAGATCTATGGCACATGTCTTTCCAGTAAGTGTCCAGTGATTATGGAGTCACCTTACTCACCAGTTTACAAAGTCCAATCTTGATTTTAAAGTTTTTATTCTCTGCATTGCAGGAAGTTGCGCCTTATTGACGTAGAGGTCATCCACAGTGAACATCAGTCTATGGAATTGTCTGCCTTTCAGCAGTTAGTCAGCAAACACATCGAATGTGCCACAGGCATCCTTCTCAAGCAGTAAGCTCTCTCAGCTCTTTTCATATGCTTTTCAATGAATAATTGATCACAACAAATCAATCATCACAGCTATCGTTTGAATTCTGCTTACTCTTCAGACTCACATTGAGTTGGTAAAAAAGTACAAGCAGTTTAAACTCTTAGGATATTGAATTGCATCGCATACTGTGCAAACACTATGCAAATTTTGATTGTTATATATTTTTCTTCAATCAAATAGGTGGATACCAGAAGTGCAGCAAATCTATTACCTTGGCAACAAACGCAAACTGATCCCCAGCAACAGCAGTGTTACTCGACTGCAGTCTTTTTACAACTGTGTGGCCACTCTCATGACCTCCCAGCTCCAAACCCTGGCTCTCGCGTCTATTCAGGACTACACGCACCTCATTGCCCAGAACCCTGTAAGATCTCCTGTAGCACTATGTCTACACATCCTGTTTACGTTATCCCTCCTATGTTTTGTGTACATAATTCGTATATTACGATAAATGTTTATTAAGCAAAATGTGCTTTTTCTGTTCGCTGAAGCATTCAGTGCGAGCCTATGAGCATCCAGGGTTTGTCCTGAAAATGGTCTTGGACCGGAATACTATAAAATTTCAACCGGATTTCAGAGACTTTGAAAGCACTCTTCTAAATGTCTATGGCATGATGCTGAATGCACTGAGTTTATTACCCCGAGTGGAGACAAAACTGTACTCAGAATGGGTAAGCATGCTTTTGTTTTGTATAGAGATAATTCTAGAAATCATTTATCAAAACTACAAATAATTCTTCTCGGTGTAATAACATGTTTCAGAAATCAAAATAACAGTTAACAACTTTATAAACTCTGTGCCTCTCGCCCTATCTGCACTGGAGATAGACACCAGCAGACCCCCATAACCCCAAAAAGGGAATATACGGGTTGGAAAATGAATGAACTTTTTAAACTGTAACTGACTCCCTGGTGGTTGCCGATAGGCAGTTTTTATTTAGCATCATTTATTTAATGGTATATTTATTTTAC